GATCGAATGACAATTTAGCACCACCTACGGTAAGCTCTTGTTAGTCTGTTTCCTTTATCACATCTTAACATGTACTTTTCTATATATGTGGGGTCCCGCTGATCATAATGTTGTATATACATATTTCAAAACCTGCATTTATTTATGATGTAAATCTTTTGTACGTTTGTTTTCGGAGCATACAAATACAGTCTAATCTATGTGAGGGACCACCATATGAAGAAATCAATATCTGAAGTGATCACTATTTTTTCATCCCCACGAAGCAAGTAAGCATGTGTAATAACTATTTTATGACACAATCTTTGTAACGAGATCACATTTGAGCGTTCTCTAATATGGGATCTGATTTGAATCTGCAGCACGATCTCTTCAAAACTCTACCTGCACGTTTGAAATGCAATAAATGATCACTTTGTTTTGCTTTTTGGTTCGTTTTACCAATTATTTTGGATGATCCTTAGATTCGTATTTTTTTGTGATTATATTACATAATGATCTAAATAAGGAATAATGAGCTGAGTCCCAGATGTATGATACGTAAGTTAAATGTAACATAATACATGACAACATGAGGAGTGGGATCGAATGTGTTTATCAACTAAATGTGAATATATATGTGAAGATGGAAGATACGTGTGGATGATATGACGGTACCAAATTATGTCGTGTTTATATATTTACTATCATTATATAACATCGGGTCTGTTATATTAACTTAAATTAAAAAAAAAGCCATGCAATGTCAATTTCAAAAAATGTTACACATAGCTAACAATTAAACCATTGACATGCAATGTAAAGTCAAAGAAGTTACTTATACTGTTATAGTCAGTTACTAGGACATGCCATTAACTCAATAACAACTATGCATTCCGAAATAAGTAAAACAAAGTAAAACCAATTCTTACCCGGAGGCCACTGGATGATCCTGTCCGGTGCACTTTTGTATAGGGAGGGGTTTCCGACATCCCTGCCCCTGCTGACGGGGGCACTGGGCCCGTTAGTACTGATTTTTGGACCAAAATCCAAATTAAGGCCATGCCCGTTGTCCTTCCTCTGTCCCATGCTGGAGGATCCACGGATGTTGAGATCCCCTTTATTTCCTAATTTGGACATAGGATGTTCAATGACGGGTAGGTTAGGGGTCTTCATTCCCTTATGGGGAGATCCTGGGACCCGAGGGACAGCGGCTACTCCACTAGCCATTGTGAGATCCTTTAAACTAGAAGTTTAAATGTCAGAATAAACGAATATAAGAAATACACACTCTGTAAAAAATAGAGTTTAAAATCCGTTCGCAATGTCAAATCTTCAAATCGGAGATGCTACACCTGACTATATCCACAGATGTTACAATCTGCGGATCACTTCACGGTGTACCCCCTCCCAACGGAACCACCATTTCTCCCCCTCCCAGTTCCTGCTATGTAAACAGTAAGCAATGATCACAGAAGGTGTCGAGACGTCCTAGGCTCGTCCGCCATTAGTGTACATAATCTCTAAGGGTAACCGCGCGAGACGACAGGTACGGATCGACCACCGTACGAGGCTATCACATGATCACAGCCATTCAGTAAAGTTGTTCGGAGGTTGCTAGAAGTCTATGTGTATATATATGTATATGTATAATCGCACACGGGGTAAATGATTTAAATCGTTCGCGATAAAATATATACTCGTTGAAAGAATTTGTATGTGAGCTAATCAAAACAAATGTATTGAAAATTGCCCCTGCTATATAGCATATAATTGAACGTATTAGATAAAGGACTTAGTTTATTATAATACGGTAACTAGTCTTTCTCTTGTCCCGATATTCAATACCCCAAATCCCTCCTTTCTAAAGGTTTTATGTTTTGAGACGTGTTCACAACAATATCTCAGCGTATAGTGTAATATCCCAACTCCTCACTGACAAATATGTCGAGTCTAATACAGTTAAAAGAAAAGCAATCATGCGTCCGTAGCGCAACACATTCAGATCTGTTCGTTAGTGCATATATTTTTGTATTAATTATCATAGCTGACAATTTCTAATTGGACAGATATATTAGTTATCACCATAAAAACATACATGTTATTACCTTTAAATATCACAATAGGTTTAAATAGAAATAAACTCTGGCTGACATGTTCAGGAAGTTAAATGAATCTTGTAATAAGCTTCATTTTGGGGCCATTTGTTTGAAAAAGTGATCAGTTTAAAGTTTAATTCCCTTGGACGTCTTTTTGTATCCGTTTCAGACACAACATACGTCTGTATCCACTTGGACGAATACATACTGAAAGGATTGCAAAGAACCGAATCCGTCATCAATGAGTACGACTACTTTTGAAGTTAAAATAATTTTGATTTTGCTAATTCCATAAAAGAATACCTAAACATACAACAAAGGTTTCTAAATGAATTAGCACCGTTTCCAAAACTAAACCGTGAACAGAGCTGACGGTAACACCACACCGCGGTGACTTGTCAAAAGTTCTGTCACTCGGCCAGATCGAGCTTTAGCATGTCGACCTGTATTATGTCGCACCTGTTGTTATACGTGTATACCTGGTCAGATGGTGATGTGTGATTTAGCATAAAGCTGTAGTCTATACTTGGCAGGTTTGGGCACTCCGTATCAACAGTATACACTTCTTAGATAGGATCGCCTGTGTTTCTATGGACGTTTCAAATGTTTTAGAGAACAGATAATTCTGAATGGTTTTACTACGAGTCATTCGTATGTTATTCTGCAAAAAAGTGTCTTCGTGGTACCATGGTTAAGAAAAGTACACATCCATTATTTCAACACTCCACGACATTGCTCTGACATTTAAATGAACGATGAAGACTACGTATTTTCGTCTAAAATATGAGAAGTTATTACATGACAAAGCTATCTTTAACAAGTAACAAAAAGTGAATGTGAAAAGGACACGAACGCCAGACAAATCATACACTTAACCTGTCTTGTGATCGTTCGACTAGACCAACTATTGGAATAAAATAATGATAAAAAATGAACTATAAAAAGAGGCTACATTTCAACTTAAAAATGACCAATGTAAAAATCAGTATCCTTACGTTATTCTGAACATTGTCCCAGGAAAGTCCGAGGAAGGACCCCGTCCGATCCTCGGCAACACAGCGACCATGGCGGAAATGACGTCGAAAATGATGTCTTGTGTTACATCTGTCATCATTATATCAATTAATTGGATTTAAATCAAGTGAAGAAAAAACACCTGATATCGAATATCAATCTACCTGTATCGGGTATTGAATGTATCCGATTTCATACTAGTTACGACAACATTCCAACAAACCAGTGTAACATACACCATACTTAATTAAAAAAAACACCCAACTATAGCAGAACCCCGCAATCCATGATTTATTAAGATAAAACTTATTTTTTTCTATATGGAATGTTGTTACATTTATCGTCATACATGTGCAGAGGATTTGCATGCAGATGCAGCAGGTTTTAACTAGAGTCGTTGTCTGTTTTCTTCTGTCCATTACTGAGCTCTTCATGTCCGGATGCCAATACACCAATGCCATGTCTCAACGCACGTTAAATATGCTGAATAGAGTGGAAACCAGAGAAGACCAATTCCACTACAAAAGTGTTTATTTCGTTAAAACAAACCATCTGATATCTGATGCATTACTTGATACTATTGTGTTATAAGTTCGTTAGATACATGGGGCATTCGCCATTTCATCATCGCTGAAGAATAATTCATGTTAATACTAACATCGAGGAATTGCTTTAACATTTCGGCGTAGATAACCATGGAAAATACAGGTTTAGATATCATAAGTGGTACATAAGGCCAAAAGATTCAAAGGTCATATCGAAATATTTCCGTAAAATGTACAAATACATCACAAGGGGAAATGTGTTAGTTTATCGAGACAAAATGCATGTGTACTGTGTCTTAGATGATTGTTGACGCATGCCCGTTCATAGACTTATAACGTAAGGTGTCAATACACGTGCCACATGTGGCACAGGAAATGGGTACCTTCCGGTACACGTAATTTCATTTGCCTTGTATTCAGATTTTGCCGTTGTGTATCGACACTATGGTGTTTCCCGATGTGTGGAATCAATGCTTCAACATGATTGACAATGTTAATTGTATCACTTTTCGACGATCAAACGATATTCTACCCTTTCATATAATAGATATGGTAGGCTATGCAAAAAGAAACAGTGTCCTTTTATACAATGACTGATGAATAGGCAGGCTAAACAAACGATTACACAAAATAGATAAAACCGGAAGCCGCTATTTCAAACACCCAATAAATTAATGAAATACCTTGACAACCAATTAATTAATAATAGGGCGGACTTTAAAGCTCTTTATCATATGATAAACATTGATATGGCGAGTGGGGATCTTTCCGACTATGTGATAAATATCAATGGTTTCATACGAAACTTAATAAAGCTGGCCAACATAGTATCACTAACTAAACCACACATTTTATAAAAAAAATATTATAAAAAACTGTTAATATTTTAACAAAAGGTGGAAATCATTCGGGATGAAATGGGTGTACTTAATACAAGAAATGAAAAAATGTTCCTCAATTCAGACATTTAAGAAAATTCCTTAAACGATTTCTTTGGCTTACAACACTTTTGCTCAACTTAAATGTAAACTTTATTTATTTCACAACAAAAATGAAACAAGTTATTTCAACTTATATTAATCACTCTTGTTT